ACGCCCTGTCTCGTTTTCAGTGGTCACGATTCCGGACGGTGGCGCCGGAAGCCCAAGAAGTGGGGCAGGCTTGCCCAGACGAGATTTGGCGGCTCGGGGCGACCTGCTTGGGGGACTGGTGAAGGCTTCGCTGGCGCCGGCCACATGGGCCGCTTACAGTAAGGTCTGGGACTCCTGGGAAAGGTCATGGGAAGGGTTGGACCGCCTGCCGGCGGGGGAATCGCTTAAGGATGCGTTCCTCTGGTACACCTGTCAATTTCTGGCGAAGGGGGCATCCCCGGCGGTGGTTGACAGGTCCATGGCGGCGATGGCTTTCTGGTTCAAGCTACATGGGGAAGAGGACCTTACTAAGACCTTTGTCATAAGGCAGGCACTGAAGGGGTACCGGCGGGGCCGCAGACGGCCTGACACTCGGCGCCCAGTATCGGTGCGAGTGTTGAGTGACCTGGTCGGTTTATTGCCTACTATATGTTTCGACAGGTTCGAAGCATCGTTGTTTCAGGCGGCGTTTCTGTTGGCCTTCTTTGGAGCCTTTCGGGTAGGGGAGTTGGTCAGTGCCACGAGGACTGCGGCAGGAGGGGTACAGGTGTCGGGGGTCCGAGTGCTGGAAGGGAAGGTGGTTGTACACCTGGCAAGATCCAAGACGGACATGTTAGGCAAGGGCCGAGATGTGACGCTGCGGGCCCTGCCGGGCTCCGCTTTGTGCCCAGTGGCCGCGGTGGCGGGGTACATGGCACGGAGGCCGGGGGTTGGAGGATCGCTGCTGGTACACGCGGACGGGTCTTCCCTCTCCCGGTTCCAGTTCACCAAGGTTTTTCGGTCTGGACTGGGAAAGCTAGGACTGAGGGTGGATACTTTTGGTACACACTCCTTTCGTATTGGGGCGGCTACGGAGGCAGCTCGGTTGGGTCTGGGGGATGACATAGTGAAACGGATTGGGAGATGGGAGTCGGTACGGTTCCGTTCATATGTGCGTTTGGGTTTATTGGAGTAAGATGGGGAAGAGCCTTTGGGGGGATCCCCGGGGGCTGGGTGCATAAGGGGCTGTTGTGATCTGTTTTCCTTCTCTCCCCCAGGCCGTGTCGCATGGATCGTGGGCCATTCATTTGTCTTCTGGGCCGAAAGGAGGGCTGCAGCTCGAGCTCAGGGCCACCAGCTGGGCTTTCATCGGGACCAGTTGGCAGTACAGTGGTTCGGGTACAGGGGTTTTTGTTGGGGGGAGGTCTGCGAAAGGGTGTTCCAGATGGTAGCAGGCGGGCAACGGCCGGACCTGCTGGTGCTCCATGCGGGGGGCAACGACTTGGGCCTCACTCCGCAGCGGCGGCTAGTGAAGTGGATGAAGCAGGACCTTAGCGGGTTAAGGGACCTACTTCCGGGGGTGATGTTGGTCTGGTCGGAGATTATCCCTAGGAAGCGGTGGCGGCATGCTAGGGACCCGGAGGCTATTGACAGATGTAGGAAGAAAGTGAATAGCTTGATGGCAAGCTTCGTGCGGAAGCTAGGGGGTGTGGTAGTTCGACACAGCGAGTTGGAAGGTGGTTTGCCGGGGTACTACCGCTCGGATGGAGTTCATCTCTCGGCAGTTGGTTGGGATCTATTGACCCTGGGCTGGCAGGAGGGCATAACTAAGGCTCTTTTTCTTCGGGGTGGCGGAGCTCAGACAGCTTAAGGAGTCAAGGTCTGAGCTTGTGGCGGGATAGGGAGCTGAAGGAGAAGAAATAGGCTCCCTAGGATGAACGTCATGGAGACGTAAAACTGTGGTCATTGGTGGTTGGTAGGTTCCGAGTCCTGTCGGTGGCTCAGAATCTGGTGGGGCAGGGGTATCCGGGTATACCCCTGCCATGGTTAATTTATGTTTGGCACTTTAAGTTGGTATGTTGGAATATGTTGATACGTATGTTATATGTTATATGTATATGTATATATGTCATTTATATGGGGGTCATTACCTGTTATATTAACAGAAGGATTCGGTTACGAGGGCGGAGTATGGGGGCAATGACCCATGTTTATTGTTAAAATTATTATTGCTTAATAAATTATTATTATTCAAGATTGGTTAAATAAAGCTGTGGACAAATTTTCCCATATACCTTTGTGTCAGTGAGTTTTTGGGTTGGGTATGTGGGAGGGTTGTCCTGGAGTCCGACTGCCCATATGGCGACTATACACCGGTCATGTAGCCCCATGTAGCCAAAGCGCAGCTAAGCGAAAAAAGGCCTTGACAGGGGTTAGGAGGCGGGCATAGGAGGAGGGAAGGAAGTAGGGAGTTATGGGTAAGTAGGCTTGGCTATTTAAATAGGCAGCCATTTTAAAAGCCTTCACTTTTAATTACTACCTTGCTGAGTTTGTCCCGCCCACCCTCCCTGAATTTGATTCGGACTTGGGTTATCCCGTTTTTTCACAGCGGCGGGATAGGGAGCTGAAGGAGAAGAAATAGGCTCCCTAGGATGAACGTCATGGAGACGTAAAACTGTGGTCATTGGTGGTTGGTAGGTTCCGAGTCCTGTCGGTGGCTCAGAATCTGGTGGGGCAGGGGTATCCGGGTATACCCCTGCCATGGTTAATGTATGTTTGGCACTTTAAGTTGGTATGTTGGAATATGTTGATACGTATGTTATATGTTATATGTATATGTATATATGTTATTTATATGGGGGTCATTGCCTGTTATATTAACAGAAGGATTCGGTTACGAGGGCGGAGTATGGGGCAATGACCCATGTTTATTGTTAAAATTATTATTGCTTAATAAATTATTATTATTCAAGATTGGTTAAATAAAGCTGTGGACAAATTTTCCCATATACCTTTGTGTCAGTGAGTTATTGGGTTGGGTATGTGGGAGGGTTGTCCTGGAGTCCGACTGCCCATATGGCGACTATACACCGGTCATGTTCTTTTTATAGATCTAGTGGACTTCTATTGGTAAAATTCTGCAAGTATATTAACTACTGGTTGTGTATTGTAAACACCTAATCACAATTCAGATTCACAACTATAAACACGTACAATATACGTGTACTGTAAGTTCAATATAATATGCCAAAAACAGAAAGAAAAAAAAATAGTATAATACTATTTATCCTAATTCAACTACAACAGTATTATTCACTGGCAACAGCACAGAGGATAAATGGAAGGTCTTTAAACAAATTCTATAAAAGTACATTTCTCAGTACATGCAATAATGCTCTATGGAAGACTTTGATGGCACTTATGAGAGTAATAACATATCTTAAAGGATCTGCTCATCTTAAACTAAAGTTATGAGCTATCAAAGATCCCAAGCTAATAGGCTACACAGATGCAGAATGGGCTGGAGGCCAATCAGATTGTAAATCTGTACGTGCCATGTGTTCTTATATGGGAATGGACCTCATCAGCTGGACTAGCCATACGCAAGAACTAGTGGCATATTGTTTTAAAGAATGTATCTCCACAGCAGAAGCATGCAAGGGAACACAATGACTTAACTAACTTCTAGAGGACTTCGAAATGACAATGGAATAGCCTTCCAGCTGAAGTGGTAGAGGTTAACACAGTAAAGGAGTTTAAGCATGTGTGGGATAGGCATAAGGCTATCCTAACTATAAGATAAGGCCAGGGACTAATCAAAGTATTTAGAAAATTGGGCAGATTAGATGGGCCGAATGGTTCTTATCTGCCATCACATTCTATGTTTCTATGTTTCGATCATAGCCCATCTGACTGATGGAGGACAACCAGAGCTATATAAAAATGGTACAAACAGAGAACGTAAATGGACACACCAAGCACATTGACATTAGATCTCATGCAATGAGAAACCTGTACCAGAAAGGATTGAGATGCAGAAATGACAGCTGACATGAGACATGTTTTAATAATCTTTGCTTAAAAATACATTTGGTAGGTTCAAATTAGGTATCATCAAGAAGGGGATTGTGTTGGAGGACTTACTGTTATTGGTAACAGTGGATTTTATTAAGACACGGAGGCTCCTATTATGCTGCACTCTTTCTTTATTTTCCCTCAGCAGCAAAGAAATTTTTTTTCAAACATAACCAGTAGTAACAATAAACAGTCTGAGTATCCTAGTAACAGGAAAAGCCAATCGGATTCCACTCTCCAGCATAATAGGCTCTGTCAACCAATCCAATCCCTCTTTCTTTGCTGCTCCCTCAGTTAAGTAACATCAGATCCCATGGTTTCTTAACTGTGGGATAGTTTTTTACATATTATATTTCTGTGCTATTTAATACTGTATATTTAATCCGATTTTATTTAATACTATTTAGTTAATACTATTTTATTATATGAGTTTATTGACTATTAGTGGGAATTTTACACGTCCTATTACTTCTTAATGCTACATTTTGGATTAGTTTACACAAGCTTAGCTAGATACTTTTCTGATTGCTGTTTGGAGTTTGTTCTCCTTCTTGGTTCCCTTATCCCCTGAGCCCAGTATGATTAACTGAGCTTGCGGGTGTCTGCAGGAACCGCTTTGCCTGTTACGGCGTTTGCGACCTCTCCCTAACCCATTCCCCGTCTGACCGCCATAATTCTGAGGCGAGCGCGTGCGCTCCCCTCTCTGCACCCATTCGCCTGCTTATTGTCATACGTTTAGATACCCGCGTTCGGGTATTTGATGCGAACCTGTGCTTGTTTCATGAACCCCTCATTCGGCGGTTCGTGAGCTAATTCCGCGAACGCATTGTTAACACAAGGCAGGCGTTCGCCTATGCGAACGCTTCTGTACCCTTCCCTTTCTGGACTTTTTACCGCTCGTGGCGGCCATTCTAGTGCCTTCCCGCGTCCTGAAGCTAGCACTGCCCCCCACAGACCGGAACTCGGAGTTGGGGGTTAGTGCTAGTGGCGGTCAGATGGCTTTCTATCTCTTCAGTACCATTGATTTCTGTGAGTGAAACATTATACTTACAATTTGCATTTTTATTCATAAACTTTGTTCCCATTCTTTAGATTCCCTCCTTAGGGTTACTCAACCCTCTCTACAGGTTGGTTATACTAATTTTGGAAATACTCCTGTCAGTTCATAGCATAACTATGCCTTCTGACAAAGAGGCTCCCACACCCTCTGGGTCTACTAACCCTAATCAAGGTGGTTTTAAGGCACCTTCAGGTGTGTCTGATATTATGGCGGGTCCCCTCGCTGAGCTTGATACCTCTGCGGATATGCAGACCCTGATAGATGACACTACGTCGCAAGCTATGACCAAAACCCTTATGTCGGCCATGGGACTAATGTCTGACTCAATATCTCAGACGCTTACACATGCCCTGATTCAGGTGCAAAAATCAACTGAACCGACTTCGGGCCAGGTTTTGCCGGTCACAACACCTTTACAACCTCAAGCTGGCCGCAAGGCCTTAGCAAAGGTGAAACATTCCACAATGCCACAGATGGACAGCCATACACCTGTCACAGATGGCGCGACTATTATGCCACCGCGCAAAAGAGCCTCTAGCTGGGCAAAATCGGCTAGATTATGGAAAAGGGCGAAGGACCAAGTAGATTCTGAGTCGGATTTCAGCGACATTGAGGAGGAGGCTTATATAGATTCGGAAGATCCATCGGATCCCGAATCAAGTAGCCCGGTCGAGGAATACGACCATTCTCGTGACTATAGTCCGCTCCAGTCGGATATACCTATTGTGGAGCACAAGGCCCAAGGGAACGCAGATAAGATTTTGGACCACCACAGGGAACCCCTATTTGACCCCGATTTACTACGCCACCCACGGTCAGCGGAGTGGTCCCCCTCAGAACATGTGGCCAAGTATATAGCGTCTAGAGTACGCAAGCCTTTAGATAAGGCGACACAGAATAAACTAAGGGCAGAATGCCCACGCCCCACGGTCCCAGATGATGCCTGCAGAACACCTGCAGTTGACCCAAAAATTACCTAGTTCTTGGGAAAGACAGGCTGGAAGCCTAACAAAGACTTGGACTTTTCCCTGCGCAACTGCCAGGATAAGGTCTTGGACATCTTGGGCCCAGCAACCAAGATATTCGAAGTGGTCCAAGATGACCAGGAGCTAGATCGGGCCGTTATAAATGGATGGATCCAATGGATTATTTGCTTGATTGGCAATGCCAACACGGCGATAGCCACAGAGTGCCGCAAGGCAATACTATTAAAAATAGAACCGAAGCTGGTTAATAAGGCCCTGAATGAGGCGGACGCTCAAGCTAAAGGTCTCCTATTCGGAGACAATTTTGTCAAGGAACTGGGATCCTTTGTACATACATTTACAGCCCTAGACAAAGCGCAGTCTAACATGCGCAAGGTGTTTCACTCCAAGGTTTTTGGTGGGGCCGGAAGAGCAAGGAGCCGTCTGTCCGGCCGTGTTAACAGGAGTTCATTTAAACAGAACAGAGGCTCCTATACAGGACGAGCCAGTTTCCCAGAACACCGCAACGCTCCGGCATTCTTTCCACAGCGTGGGCGACCATGGGTTTCTCGTGGACCACGAAACGCTCACTCAGGACGACGACCTTATGGTAAGTCCTCTCAATTTTAATTTTTCCCTATGGGCAGTGGGGGGCAGACTCCGACATTTTTTCCACATGTGGTCCCACATCTCATCAGATGCTTGGGTGTTAAACACCGTAAAAAGGATATACCATAGATTTCCTGTCCCTACTCGTACAATACTCCCCACCGCGGGAAATGTCCTTTTTCCTACCAGACAAGGCCCTGGTCACCAAGGAAGTCTCGGATTTGCAGCGCAAACGAGCCATCTCAGAAATCCCTATGGCCACACCAGGCTATGTGAGCAACCTGTTCATGGTTGCCAAGAAAGGCGGAGGGTTCCGCCCAGTGATCAATTTGAAACAACTCAACACATACGTCTCCTACAACCACTTCAAGACGGAAGGAATACATTGTCTAAGAGATCTCCTCCAACCAGCAGACTGGATGGTGAAGCTAGATCTAAAAGACGCTTTTCTTACAGTGCCGATCGCCCCACAACACCAAGATTTCCTGCAATTCATCTGGCAGGGCAGGAAGTGGAGGTTTACTTGCCTCCCATTCGGACTGTCATCAGCCCCGTGGTGCTTCACCAAACTCATGAAGCCTGTGACAGCTTTATTAAGGAGTCAAGGAGTACGTCTCATAATTTATTTGGACGACATCCTCATCATGAGTCAGTCCGCCCAACTTGCCCGGACCCATCTGACCTGGACTCAGACTCTATTACAGAACTTAGGCTTCCTCATCAATTGGGAAAAATCCACTTTGACTCCCACTCAACACATGGAGTTCTTGGGTCTCATCGTGGACTCTACATCTCAGACCCTACATCTACCAATGACGAAACTGAACAATATAAAAAAGGAAATCAAACGCTCTCTGGCAGCTCCTCAGCTTTCCCTCAAACAGTTGGCGAGGGTGATTGGCCTCCTGGCGGCCTCCATACAAGCCATCTTTCCGGGCCCTCTCCACTACCGAGCGTTACAACGCCTACACGCTTCCAACCTGAGAGACGGAGTCTCCTACACAGATCTGATCACTCTGAACTCGGAAGCGAAAGACGAACTGACATGGTGGCTCTACCATATGGAAGCCTGGAATGGTCGAGCCATTTTCGGCACCGCACCAGATCTAGTAATAGAATCCGACGCGAGTTTGCACGGTTGGGGTGCTCGCTGTGGAGACGTCTCTACAGGTGGCAGATGGTCCAGCAGCGAATCTACACTCCAGATCAATTGCCTGGAACTCCTGGCAGGATCCTTTGCGATCCGCAGCTTCTCACCAACTCTTGTACAATGCTCTATCCTTCTGAAGATGGACAATATGTCGGCAGTCCAATATATCAACCATCTGGGGGGCACGAAATCAAAGATCCTGGCGAACATGGCACGAGACTTTTGGCAGTTCTGCCTGACTCAGGGCATTTCTGTTACAGCGGAGTATATTCCCGGGCTCTGCAACACCACGGCAGACTGGTACTCACGACACCTCTGGGACACCAGCGATTGGCAACTGGACCCCAGGGTCTTTCGAAATATCCAGTCACTATGGGGCCCCATGGACAAAGACCTTTTCGCCTCCCGCTTGAATACACAACTTCCTCGATTCTTCTGCTGGAGACCAGACCCAGCAGCGCTGGCGACAGATGCGTTCACCCAGGATTGGTCGTCCACAAGGAATTATGCCTTTCCACCGTTCGCACTGATTCCCTGCTGCCTACTGCAGTTACGACGACAGACAGGAACCCTGGTGTTTGTAACATCGTTATGGCCCTCCCAACCATGGTTTCCTCGCCACTTGGAGATGACGATAGACATACCTCGCATTCTCCCACACTCCGAATACTTACTTCAGGACCCGGACGGATCTCCTCACCCCCTGGTACAACATGGCCTGCTACATCTAGCAGTGTGGCTAATTTCAGGGGACCTTGGACAATCGAGGGAGTTTCGGAATCAACTCTCCACCTTCTCGAGAGCGCATGGGCGCTCGGCACGAGACAGGCTTATAAGTCTTCATGGGGCAGATGGTGCCTGGAACGAGACTTGGATCCCATATCAGCTCCTTTGACTGATATCCTCCAATTCCTTACTTCATTGTTTGAGGACGGCAAGGCCTATCGTACAGTGAACCTGTACCGATCGGCCATTTCGGCGTCACACCAGGTGACCGCTGATATGTAGACGCTTACGTGGCATTAAATTTGCACGTCCCCCGCTACCACGATACTCGATGTTATAGGACATTTCCATCATCCTCAATTTCCTTGAATCATGGCCAGACAACGCACGGCTGTCCCTGAAACAACTGTCGGCCAAGCTGGCCATGCTCCTCTGCCTCATATCCTGCAAAAGGGTATCCGATGTCAGAGCTCTGGACATTACCGCACGCTCCTACACCCCGGAAGGGGTCACCTTCGAAATATCTCGCAGAACGAAGAAGTCCTCAAAGACAGTGTCATACCCAGCGTTCCCTGACAGACCGCTTTTATGCCTGGTCAAATGCTTACAATCTTATGAACTCCGCACCTCCACGCTTCGAGACATAACGAAACACGAACTCTTTGTATGCTTCCAAAAACCACACCTACTGGTCTCTACTCCGACCCTGGCTCGATGGGTTAAATGGATTATGTCCCTAGTGGGCATTGACACCTCACTATTCTCACCTCACTCAGTGCGAGGAGCAATGGCTTCCAGAGCCTCCTTGATTGGTTGTCGCTGGAGGAAATTTTGAAGGCGGCCGATTGGTCATCAGAATCGACTTTTAGAGACTTTTACTTTAAACCCATTCAGCACTTCGCGGGAACGGTAATTTCTCAGCTTTAAACCAGCATAATAGGAGCCTCCGTGTCTTAATAAAATTCACAGATTTTACTATTAGCATGACATAAAGTCATGATTTTATTAACGACACGGAGGCGAGTATTATCCCTCCCACCCCGTGGAAGGATGGAATGTGGGTAAGTTGATTCCAGGTAAGTCCTACAAGTCTGGAATTGCTACAAGTTACACTTGTCAATACTCCACTTAACCACTAGGGATTAGTAGAATTACATTGATATTATGACTATTATGATGTATGCGGACACCCAGTTTGTTACAAAGATATTACCATATTTCTCCTTGTCTTACAGCCTAACCGACTCCAGATCATTGGAGATACCCTTGTTGCACAGTTCTCCTTTTTCGGCTGGATGATTATACTGCTTCAGGATCGCAAATAAAGAGGAATTGGATTGGTTGACAGAGCCTATTATGCTGGAGAGTGGAATCCGATTGGCTGTTCCTGTTACTAGGATACTCAGCTCAGACTGTTTATTGTTATTACTGGTTATGTTTGAAAAAAAATTATTTGCTGCTGAGGGAAAATAAAGAAAGAGTGCAGCATACTACTTGCCTCCATGTCGTTAATAAAATCATGACTTTACGTAATGCTAATAGTAAAATCTGTGAATTGTCCGTCATCTATAGTCTCTGTGGTTTCTTGAGAGGAGGTATGTTCTGATCTTGTCTTACCTCACTTCCTCTCTTCTCTCTTACTATGCAGCCATTTTGCCTTTGAGAAACAAAGTTTTGTTTCATGTTTTATTAAATCAGTCTGTTCCTGTTTGAGCAAACCACTCACTATATGTGCGCCCTGCTCTGACTTCTACACCATGCTGCTGTGCTAATACAACTTTGCTAAATTTCAAAACAGCCTTCTAATAGTTTATAGCACACCCCTCATTTCAAATGGACAAAGAGGGACATTTTAAATTTATGGGTGAATGTGGGGTTGTGACCAGGAGTGGGACTGTTCTGAAACAGTTTATGTGACTTACTAAAAACTATTTATGTCACTGAAATGTAATTTCAAACAAGAAAATTTATCTTATTTACTTATTTACCTGATTTCAAA